GTCCACCCCCATCTTCGACCGCGACTACTCCGATCCTGACACCGCCCCCTGGATCTCCCCAGCCGTCGCCCTCCCCTGCCTCACCACTGTCTTCTTCACCGCCTGCTTCTTCCGGTTGTGGTATTACGTGGTACCGAATGCCGCCTCCCTCGTGGTTCGTTTCCTTGTGGCTTTCCTGGTTGGCATTCCTACGTCCGTCTTCTTCTTCATCTTGCTGTGTCTTGCCTATCAAGGGGTCGTCTCTTCCGAGGCCGGCAGCAAAGTGTACTGGAGGCTGATGGCGCTTGTTTTCGCCGGCTCGGGGGGACTGCATTCGCTGTATTTTGCGTTCAGGGCTTGGCCGGTGTTGCGTGTCTTGGATATTGTGCTGCTGAGCCTTGGGGGAGCGGTTGTGCTGCTTAATCTGATTGCGGTTGTAGTGGCAGGGCTGAGCAGGCGTAGGGGAGTGCTTGCGATTTGAGATCAGTGGAATGTTGTCTGGACGGTCATGGTGAAGCGTTGGGTTGTATCAGACTACTGACGAGGTCGGGTTTGCCAAGTGGGTTGTCGTGTTTGTCTCAATGAGGATACGTGAGGATGACATTTGTTTGTTTTGGCGTAGCTGTGGGAAACGAGGCGTCGGGTGGTGGCACGGTTTGGATATCTGTCGAAATTACACAATATGTAATCGTTCTGTCTTTACGGTCTTCTGTCCCTTTGCCTCGGTGATGCACTTGCGGTCGCCCCTCTGTCAATGATCCCAGTTCCGTCAAAGCTTGTGAGTGGATGGAAGGACTTCATGCGAGGTACTTCGGGAGTGCGAGCTTGGCGGATATTAGAAATGCCCGAATGGATGTGCCGTGCCGGGGGAGAGTCAGAGTATTGGCAGTTATGTTACATTGCTGTTCCCCATCCAGCCCTGGCCGTGTCTCAATCGCCTGTTGGGACTTTACCAACTCTAGTTCCTTGAGTTACACAGGCTTGGCAGCCGGACTGCTGGATGGGTTGAGTCCAGGCGGAATTGGTCCGTTGTTAGTGACGCTAGTTGTATGCAAGCGGCTACCTCCCAACTGAAAGAAGTCGTCAAACCCGCCAAGCATGTGAACCTCACAACCCGAATGCAGCTCCTCAACTCCATGGCCCTCTTGGCCAGCCTGGTCCACCTGGCCACCAGCACCCCTGCTGGGCTTCCACACACAAGCAACCTCCTCAAGTCAGTCGGTATCCGCGCCGAAGACATCCAAGTCATCCCCGGCCCGGGCCTGCCCTCCCTCGAAAGCGTTGGTCTCACCGCCGTCGGAATCTACGAGGAAGCTCTCCGCCGCCAAAACGACCCCTCCATCGAGGCCGCCATCCACGCCGAGCTCGATGCCGAGTTTGCCAGCAACAACTCGACAGCAACAACTCCCATCGCCGCCCGCAACAACCCGTACCGCTTCATGCACATCCGCGCCACGGCATGCGCCATTTACCTCAACGAGCTCGGCAACACCCCGTGCGCAGTGGTGTCGGCTCGATGCACCGTCATGTGCCAGTCCACTGATACGCATGGTGAGTGGGCTACCATCTCGGGCTTCACGCATGATGTGCCCAGTTCGTCGAGCTACTGCCGTCATGTTGCGAGGATGGTTGAGTCGGTTCGGGATGTGTGCAATACAGATGGGTATACGGCCAAGTTTGGGACGGATGCGGCGTATGGGAACGGGCATTTCAGGGTCGAAGTGATTGGGCAGTTGGGCCCGACTTGTTGGACCAAGTTTCAGTTTGGGAAATAAGTGATGATCGGGACTTGAGCGCCAGTAGCGCCATATGATTTTTCTCTTCTTCTTTTTTTTTTCATGTACGGCGTCCCGTTCATTAGTCACAATGTCAAGAATGGTTGGAATATTTCCCGGCGTTGACAAATCGCCAATGGGGTTGCTCAGTCATCATGGTGGTGGGCAGAGTCAGATTGCAGCTTTCTCCGCGGGGTTGCTCCCGTGCTTATAAGTACCTCTCTTTCACACCATTTTGGCAAATAGTCGAAGATCCCAAACAACCAAACGGCAGCACCCGATGCATTGTATTGCAACCCTACAACAGTTGCAAAACAGTACTTTTGCCCCTTTCGGACACCCAGATCCAACCATGGCCTCTCCCCACGGCATCAGCCTCCAGGTCACAGTCCACATTGACCCCAAAAACGTCGAAGAGTTCTTCACGCACTTCAAGCCCCTTTACGACCGTGTTGTCGCTGAGCCCGAGCTGCGTTTCTTCGAAGTCTACCAGTCACCCGAAGACCCGGGCACGATATCTTGGGTGGAACATTGGTCTGTCCCCTCGCCCCTGAAGCAGTGAAACAAGATTTCTGACTCGGGCTGTAATTAGGGACTGCACGATTGAATGGCTCAATGACGTTCAGTTGAAGAAACAGTACTTTCAGGACTACAAGGCTGCGGCGGATCACTTGCTCTTGCGTCCGCGGGATGCGGTCATTTTGAACAGGGTTGGACCGGGGTATTCAACCTGGAAGGATGCGGCTACGCCTGAGAAATAGATCCATCTACCCACCTACCCAACTACCTATCTCCCAATATGAAGACCCCCTATGTCTGGTCCCGAATCCGGCCTTCTCCGTGACAGCCTGTCGCTCCACCCATCCATATCCTCGCGTTCCTTGATGAACTTTTCCTTCCATCGTAGATAGCCATCTTCAAGACCAGATGCTGAAAATCCCCCCTTGATTGACGAATGGGTCTTCCCCACGTGAAGCGTCTCAGCGGGGTCGATGATAGCCACGGCCGAGTCACCGCTGTCGTCGTCAAGGTCAAATCCCACACTTGGCTGCGGCGACTTGGGGATCTTGCGCACAAACTCCCTCAGTCCCTTTGAGAATCTCAAAAAGGTAATTCCTCTTGCCCTGGAGAAGTCGTTGTTGGATACGTCCAGCATGACGGTCATGTTGAGATCCGGCAAGTAAAACACGGGCTGCTTCCATTTTGCGCCCAGGGTTTCCTCTTTCAGCTGATCCAAGAATTCGGGCCGGAAAGTATCCCAGTTCTTCCCGTTCCCGTCGTCTCTCGTTTTCAAGTTGATGAACATCTGACAAAAGCCGTAGATGTTGCCGCTGGAGATGGACTCTCTGAGGGCGACGAAGATGAAGATGGTTGCGCAGCTATCATCGGGGAGGTTGTTCAGCGGGCTGGCTTCGGGTATCGCGGTGCTGCCCGACGAGGGCAGCATCCAGCTCAACAAGGCTGCATTGACCCTGTACTTGGGAGTGGATGTTGAGCTGTCAAGTTGTATGAGAGCGGTGATCTTATCGCCGCCGCATTGGAAACTCATCTCTCCAGTTTCCCACTCCCGCTGGAGGTCGGCCGAGTCGAAAGCGATCATGGCGCCGTGGTACTTGCTTTCCGGTTGCGTGGACATGGTTCTCTCAAACGGAGTGAGGGCTTTCCCTTCGTCGTCCCTTCGCCTGTTTGTGACGAGAACGGACTCGACCTGAAGATGAGCGGTTGATTGCGCGTTGAGGAGGACTGGCTTGGGCGGGTAGCGCTGGCGGAACACGTGAAGCATGCCGTTTCGTCTTCTGGTTCCGTGCACCAGTATCCCGAGTTTCACTTGGTATCGCCGGGATACACCGAACGGTCGAACCTGCAGCAGGAGGATGTACGACGAGTGCGCGAGATGGACAACGGGTAGGTGGATGGAAAGGCCGGCATTCGTCATGCTGTAGATGGATATTTCGTAGTCCAGGTCCTCGTCCAGGACTGCTCGGACATCGGTCTGCCGGAATTGTGCAGCAGAGGGGGCCAGGAGACTGGTCCAGTCGTCGGGAACATCTGGCGTCCAAGCCCAGCAGAAGATGGTGTGATCGTTGGAGGCCTTGATGATTTCGTGCTGAAGCCGAGTGAAGGCCTTGGCACCTTCGCCATAAAGCAGGGGCATGTTGATGTCGAAAAGGCCCATCATGCAGTAGGCCATGTCTTCGACTCTTGTTGTTGTTCGGGGGGCTAGCCAGGACATTTTCCTGGCAATAGGGGCGCGTCGCACCTCGGCGTGGTCCCCCCGCAGGTATTTCTTCCCGATTCCCGTAATTCGCGACACCTTTTTGGACATGGACGCGCTTCTGTTGCCTATCTTGGACCAGTCGCTGGCGTAAAAGACCAGCTGTTTCGGCGCGAGGAGCTCCTGCAGAGTCCAGCCCCGGGAGAACCACCGGCTCTCCTGGATCTTGAGATCCATCGTGGCGGCATCGACCGTGTCCTTGTTCGGGACGTCGCTCAGATGGGCGTAGCACACCTCGGCCCGCATGTACCAATCGAACATGGAGTTGATGGCTTCGGTAAGCTCGGCTGAACTGCTCTTATCGATGCAGTTGGTGTCAACCCACAGCCATTTTATTCGCTCCATTCGTGCTCTGTGGCATGCACCCTGAATTTTGGCATATCCAGCTTTCTTGGAGGCCAAGTCCAGGTCGTCCCAGTCCTGAAGGGTGACTTCCTCGGAGCCCCAGGTGTGGGAGAGAATGGCGTATTCGGGGATGGCATCGCCAAAGAACTCGGACAGCGCCAGCGTCTTGGTGTCGATGAGGCGCATCGCAGCGAGGAACAGGGTGTCTTCGATTGACTCTAGGGCCCGGAATCTTCAAGTTTTCTGTGTCTGGAAAATGACGCCTTTGGGTTGGAAGAAGGGTCACAGATCCCAACACGATAACGGTCGAGAAGGCTCTGGTTACCCCGCCCCAATGCAAGCAGTCGGTCCCCTTCGGTGAACGCACCATCCGGCAAGTCTCCATTGGCCAAGTTGAGTTCCAATACATCGCTTCAGCCCCAACTCTCCTGTTGCGGAATAGCGCGACAATGGCGAGCGTGCTACGCCACCCAACACGAAAGTTCATCATACGCCTGAACCTCGATTTTTTGCCAAGACGCGGAGACCTTAGTTCAAAATGCCGCAAATCTCGACGTCACCCCATATAAGCATCTCCTCCGCGCCAGCCCCCATCAATCGCTACGGTGGATGCCCACATCCACAATTCTTCCGTAGTATAGTGGTCAGTATGTGAGCTTGTCAGTCCCTGATCTCGCTCGAGACCCGGGTTCAATTCCCGGCGGGAGAGAATACTTTCATTTTTGCCCCTCTCCCCTTTTTTGTGGCTGGATCCCACCCACCATTTGAAGTTGTGTCCCCAATCAGAAACCTGAAGCGTGTGAAAGGAGAGGAAGCGATGGAGCGATCCTTGTTCTAGAGGTCATTATCAAGACACAGGGGGACACAGGTGACACAGAACTTAGGGTTTGTTCAGACAGACGGCGTAAAGATATTGACCGCACCAAGTACCTGACGAACATGGGAGACAAGTATTTACAGTGAAAAGGAGCAACCAAGCCATGTCGGACAGAGCAACTCCGAAATACAACGCCTCCCTTCCCTCCATCGCACTTCCACAAGATCCGCTCAAAGATAGACGTAGCAAAGGGGCGTGCCGCCCAAGGTGTTCATCAGATCCTTGATCTTGACGGGGGGCGCAAGGGGGGAAATGTCAATGATATCCTCAACAGTGGTGTTCGCACTGGGGAAGATGTCCATGAAGACGTTGGAACCGTGGACGTTCTGTGTTGGATTTCCGTCAGCATTCTGCTGTGGTTAACGAGTTCAGGGGCAAAAAAAAACATACCTTTCTGTTGTTGAAGTCCAAAGCCTGCCAGATCCAGTAGACGCGGTCGATTTGGCCGTGGTGCAGGTAGAAAGCCGGGTCGCCGGGGCTGATGAAGGGGTCACCGCCGGGGTCACCGCCGATGGTGAAGTGACCACCGCCGTGGACGCCGAGCTCGCCATGCACGTAGCGCGGATCGGCCTGCATATGGGCCTGGAACTTCTCGATGTTGTTGTAGCTGAGGATGAGGCTGGTGGTGTTGTAGAAGGAGGTGTACCGCTTGGCGATGCCCGCGTTGAGATCGCGCTTCAGGCAGCGCTGGTTGCCGTCGGCGAGGGGATCGGGGGAGGCGTAGACCTCCGAGGTGCCGTACTGGGCGAGGGCAACGGCGCCGATGTTGACGACCATGTTGGCGAAGGGGCCAGTGGTGACGCAACCGCCGCCGGTTCCGGGAGGGGTGGGGATCAACGCGGTCGGGTCCAGGGGCTCGGTCAGGATCATGCCCTGGTGGGGGATGTACTGGCCGTTGCCGCCGAGGGACGTGGCCGAGCCGTCAAAAACGGGGGAGGCCGCCGGGTTGTTGACATCCAAGCCCCACTCCCAATAGGGGGCAGCACCTGTGAGCGGTGTTAGTAAGGTGCTAACAAAAGAGAGAGAGAGAGAGAGAGAGAGAAAGAAAAAAAGAAAAAAAGAGAAACATACCGGTGTAGCCGCACTGCTGCAGGTGCTGCTCGTAGACGTGGGTGAAGTAGCGGTGCCAGATGAGGAAGTTGCCAGTCAGATGGATGAAGATGGTCTGCTGCAAGTGGATGGCAACGAAGTCGTCAAAGAGCGACTTGGAGCCCGGGGCAACGCCGGGGGCCAGGATGGACGGCTTGTTGCGCAGGCACTTGACGGCGGCAATGTAGTTCTTGCGCTGGTTGACGCTCAGGGTACGCCATTCCTGGCGGACCTTGACGTTGGAGAGGTTGCACGACCCGCCAAAGGTGCGGCGCACCTTGGCCGACGCCAACGGAATCGTCTCGTTGTAAGCGAGAGACGCAAGGGCCGCAAGCGCGTCACCCTTGACGATCTCCTCTTGCGAGAACTCCTCACGCTTGGGGATGCGGCCCGCAGCGGCGGGGGCGGTAACGAGCGAAACGGCCCAGAGGAGCCAACTGAGCTGCTTGGTGGCCACCATGATGGGCGGTACCTACAAGAAGGTTGGAGGGTCAAAAAAAAAATATAAAAGAATGACTGAGGGTGATGGGACACACAGAAAGAAAAAAAAAAAGTCATGATGCCAACGTGGGGACTCGTGATGTTTATAAGTACTCGTTTCTGATGCCTGTCGTGTGTTTCCCAGTTGTTGCCCTTTTCGCTCATAGCTGCGCCGCCGCGCCGCGCTTCCCTCACTCCCTCGTGTGACCCCCGTCGTGTCGGCATCCTGCCGGGGATGGATGTCTTGCCGGGTATAGATGTCTTGCCGGGGATGGATTGTCTCCATCGCAGCTTTTGCCAGGTGGAATTTTTGGTGATGTGTGTCGGCCGGGGGTGGTGTATCCTGCATCCAGCACGGGAAATTGGCCGTCGCCGCGGCGGGCATGTGGGGTCACATTCTAATAGTGCCCTTCTGCTTTGACACTTGGCGCAGGGTTGCAGTTGCTGCCAATTTCCTCGTCAACTTCTGTCACGGCGGCCACGGGCCAGCATGGGGCGCATGCGACAGTGCGCCCACGGGGTCGGGTCACCTGCCGAAGAGGTGCGTCTGGCGAATCCTACCTGCCAGAAAAAGGAGAACTGTTACGTTGTGTAACAAATATTCAAAGTCGGGGCCTTGTTTCGTCGTTGCATTGTGCGGCGACCATCCTCTGGCGCTTTGTTGGTTTTTTTTGGTGACTTGCGGTGCGGCCCGGAGAGTCTTGTTCAACAAGCGAAGGCCGTGTCCGCTGTCGCCGTTTTTGTTGCCCGTGCCTAGCGGGGGGGTTGGACGGCGCCCAGAGTGGACTTTGCTCCCCGAGTGGGGCTCAAAAAGCCTTTTTCCCCCTCTGAGGCTAGCAGCTCGCGCCGTCCTCGACGCCGACGAGGGCAACCCTGCTCGATGAAACGGTCTGTGCAGACGTGCGACACTGACGGGACGCCAAGCCACGATCCAGCACGCTAAGCTCCAGACTTCTCGTCATTCTCGCACGCCATCATCAACGACGGGGCCCGCATTTGCTAGCTGTACACTGGAAGAAGAAATGTAGGCTCAGGTGCGTGAAACTTTTTGTGGTGGGGAAAACCCCTAGGCAAACATGCGCTAATAATAGGTAGGAGTTTTAGCGCTTTTTGCATCTTGTGAGACCTTGGATCTCTGGGAATATCTGTTCGGCATCTTTGCCCGTCCAGATGGTGGGATGCAGTTGCCACCGCTGAGAGGGCGTCGTCCGAAAGCGGCCGTCCAAGAAGTCAAGAAGGGGCCCGGGGCACAAGTTGCCAGGTTCAGGCTCCAGGGCCCCGACGTCGATATTGACAGGGACGTACTGCGAATAGGGGGCGACAAAAGTGCTGTCGTCGAGTCGTGTCCTGCACTGCACACTTCCAAGATCCCCGTCCCATCTCGCAAGCCGCTGCCACAGGCGGCTAATCGGGCGTGTCGATAACGTGGCCTCCTGGCCGCCGCTCTGACGATCTTTCCCCTTTCAGTCTTCCATGGCCGCTCACCACGGTCAAGGTCGCATTCGCCGCGGCATGGCCCCACTGCGCTGACCAACACCGAGCCCCGACACGAGGAGCAGCCATTTCCATGCGGGGAAATAAGCATCGCGAGTGACCCGAATACGGAACTCGAAGGCGAGGAAAAGGGGCTCGACGCACAACAACCCGGAGCGTGCCGATTGCGCAGTGCTTGCTACATATGCGGGGTGCCACGTTTTGCTGCATGTCTATCACGATCAATGCCTCCCAGCAGTCCGGATATTCCGGTCAAGATCAGAGGGCCAGACGCCGCCCAAAGGTGGTTAGAATCCACAACTATTTGCGCCCTCGGCCAAACGTACATAGTTAGGTAGGTAGGCATGCTTGCAGCACCTGGGCTTTGCCGGGCCGGCTCCGCGTGCCGGTGTCTGACCACTCCAGCAATCTCTATTACCTACAACTCGAATGCTCTGGCCTGACAGCGCCTATTTCTTGCAGCTCCCCAGGCCTCTTGGTGCGGGCTGAGGCGCGCGATGATACCCTCTCAGGCATCTTGACCCAGGACTGCGGGCGCTTACTTCTTCCCACGATGCCGCATCCGGTGAGTCTATTACATGCCCCCGTACGCCTGCGTCGACTCTCAGACCCTTTGGACCTCGAGATGCTCATCAGTCGACCCAAGGCCCCGGATGAGCCGCCTTGGGCCAAGACCACTGCTAGTTACCTCGGTCAGCTTACTCGCCGTACTCGACGCTGGGGAGATGAGCTCGCGGCGCAGCCCCGCGGCCCAGTACCTACGTCGTGACACTTCCGGGACCCCTTTCCGCGGTTAGCTTACCCTCTCCGGCCGCCTGCCCCGAAGCCCCCCTCAACACCATCACCACCTGCAACCCGTCGGCATCTTGACCCCCGATTGCCACTTATTTGAACCCAAAACCAATAATGCAAGCCAGCGGCCCTTGCAGCGCGTGCGTTGCGGTCCCAAGTTCAGTTTGGAGACGTAGCTAGGGGACTCAGCTGATCACTTCGGCGTGGTTCAGACGTCCCAAGCTGGCGCCTCCCGTGAAGGCCGGCAAGTGAGCAGACCTTTTGCCCGGATTTCGGCAACTCACCACCATGGACCTAGGATCATGAATGCGTATACCTAGTTGGTGGAAGGGACCGTCGAGGTGTTGAATCACAAAATGCTATTATTAGTCCTAACCACCTGGTAAGCGCCAGGGGTAAATGTCAATAGTGGGCGGGCTTCTGCGCGCAAAGGCATGATATCAAGCCATCGAGGACAGGCTAGACTTCGCCACTAGACCGGTTCCATGTGCCCTCCCGCTTCTCAGCGTCTCCCGGGTGGCCTGGCTATCGAAGCGGGCAGTCACCTTTGTCGAGACAGGAAGTTGAGATAAAGTCGAACAAAACCTCCGAAGCCCACCACCATGCGTGCATCCGGGCGAAACGGACCCATTGAACCACGCCCAATCGAACCCTTCCCAGTCCGGACAATTTTCCAGCTCGGCCAGCCAGTCGGTGCGAATCACCAATCACCCAAAAGTGCAGAAATTATGTCATACCCACACTGATCGCCGGCTCACGGACAGTCGCGCGGAGCGGGAATCCCCTGGGGGGGACCCTTCAACCAATTGCGCTCGCGGGAAAGGGATCCTCGCCTGTGCACCCGCCTCACCCCCTGGGAAATTTTGTCCGTGGTTCGCGTTCCAGCCACGGACAGAAACGTGGCGACCAGCTCATTCGGGCGGAGCCGAACCACAGACCAAAATCCATGTTTCCTTGCCTGCGATGATGACTCGCAC